AAAATCAATGATGCAGAAAACAAGATTAACCTCTGAGTGATATCGATTTCGTTTATTGAAAGGACTTTCACTCGCATCGGCAGAAGCTACTGAAAAATCAAATTACTTGTAAATTCTTAAGATTTTCTCGAAATTTATCGTAAAGTTTCCATCTTCCACGTTTATTGACAGAATATGGAATGTCAAATCGATCAAATGCGATTCTATCAGCTGCTTTTAAACATGGACATGGTTTTTTCTGAAAGCTGAGACAAAGCATATAATATGAAAATGTTTCAAAACATTCTGAGTGGTAATAGAGTAAATCAGAATCAAAAATCAAAAGTATTTCTCGCTGTCCTTATAACAGATACTTGACAATAATACTTTCATAGACCAAATTTTATCTTAAATTGAAAACGAAAAAAACATGAAAAATGAAAAAACCAACTGACCGCGTATTGAAAAAAGTCTTCAGCAAGCAGATTACTGTTATTATTTATGTTAGTAAGTTTCCCATCCTTCGCTACAAAAAACTGTGCCTCCTCGTCACTATCTTTTTTAAAGAAACATTTATAAATAAGAATCGGACTAACAAGCCTGAAATATATGAACATATACAAACTGAAATAAAAGTTCGACAAGTATACACAAGAAAAAACAAACTATAAATAAACTGGCGCCACCATTTTCTACTAATCAAATAAATAAAGTTGCCTAACATGCGGTTCTTTGCTGGTTGTTTCCTTGTTTAAGCCAAAAATATATATCCATCAAAGAAAATGGAAACAACTGCAATGCAATTTCTTACCCTCTACAATTTCGATATATTTTTCGCTTATTTTCATAATTGCGTCTGATGTACGGAATATCGACTTCTTTTGTCAGGTAATCTCGCATATTAATTTGCGTGCTTCAACCTGAAGTAAGAATGACAGGTGTCTGTAGATATATAACACATATTTTCCGGTAAAAGTAATGCTTGTTCGGATGTATGCAGGACCTCGCATATGTTAATCTTATAGTCATTTTTCGTGTCATCACAGACAAGCCCCGAAAATTAATGGTGAGAAGTAGAAATCAGCTCACAAAATCTCCAAAATGAGCAGCCAATGCATTAAAAAATCCGTCTAATAGAATCTATGGTTTATCAA